ACAAATTGGATAATACCTGTGTAGCCTTTGATGTTTCATCGTCATAATTTATATTCAGATCACCACCCAACAAAAGGTTTGCCTTACATGGTAGATTCATTAAAAGAGTTTCTAGATTTTCAAAATATTGTTTTAAATTTGAAGAATATGGTGGTCTGTAAATGCACAAAATATACAAGTTGTTTCTCTCATTGTACAACAATGAAAACTCAAAACCACCTTCTACTATAAGGATGTCACAGTGTGAAACAGCAATAACTTCGAAAGTCTCCAAAAACTCATCCCTTATAAGAATAGCAGTACCTCCACCACTCTTGGTAATTCTACAATATTTAGACACCAGTGTATAACCATTGATAGAAAATATTTCATTTGTCGCCAACCAATGTTCAGTCAGCAGCAGTATGTCCGGGAAGTTTTCATTTTCAAGAAATAGGTACAGATCATCAATTTTGTTTCGTAGCGATTGAATATTCAATAAAAATACAGACACCTGTTTTTTTCGATTGCAATCTTGAGCTATGTTAGAGTTTTTGGGGGTGTTATTTGAGCTAAAAAATCTATCTGTTCTTGCTGAATAAAATGCATTTCACTTTTGGAGTTATTGAAACATGTTCGTTGCTCTAAGACGTTTACGGAAGTGCCATTTGATAAAACTTTCTTTACCAAAATTAAACCGTCTTTATCGCCAACACTAGCACAGTCGCTGTTACTATTACAATTCAGAATTGACTCGTGAGATTCTAAGTTACTATGTATTGATGGTGAAAGTAGAGGTTGAGGTTGGTCACAGGTTTTCACAAATATTAGTGGCTTTAAGTTGTTGTAGCGGTGTGGGTTTGCCGATAAATTTATTATTGACTCCCCCACAAGCTTACCAATTTGCCAGTTTCTAACACACAGTCCTTTTTTGTTTTTGATATCTATGTGTTCCAAAGATGTCTCAGAAATCCTATCAACCTTACTTATAAAAGAATGAAACCTGTTATTGAATGCTGTAATCTTATTTATGTTTTTATATTTTGACGATACTGGACAAGACAAAAATATAAAATTAGTGTGTAGACATGGCTTAAGTTTATTCCAAATGAACTTTGTTTGAGGAAATTTGTCATTAAGGAGATCATTATGACCACCAGTTATTATAACATAGTCATTACTATTTAAATTCTTTGTAAGATTTTCCAAATCTTCTACAATACTATGGAAAAAGGCCCCTGGCTTTATTATCATTTCTACCTTAAACCTATGCAAAGATGGTTGACGAGCAAGATAATTAAATAAATGCCGTCCATTTTGATCGCTCAATATTAAAATTCTCGGTTCACTTGTCGACGTCATCTTGGAATGTTCTGCGTTTGACTCGCGTTGCTGCTCCGAGCTAATATCTATGGGTGCAACAAAACCTGAATCTTGCAAATATTTTATTTCTTCCTGTAAATTATTTTTTGAGGAATGGTCTGAATTTTGGATCTCCTTACTGAGCTGCCTTTGCTTATTTTCAAGCTCTTCTATAATAGACTTTTGTTCTTGTAGAGTCATTTTCAAGTTTTGACCTTCAATTCTTTCTGCCCTCAATTCTTTGCCCATCGCTTGACATTCAGCTTCTAATGTGTTTGCCCACAATTTAACTTTCCTATGCAGTTCTTCAACGATGAGTAGCTGTTTTTTTGTCTGCTCGGTTAGTTGTAGATGTTCTTCTATCTGATCTTGTTTAACTTGATTGTCTTGTTTCAATGTTTTTATTTCCACGTTCAAACTGGAGATAATTTTTAACTGGTATTCCAATTTTACTTCAAACTGCCTTTCTTGGTCCAGTGCCATATCCTCAAAACACTTTGAACCCTTCTGAAGGCGAGCGATAAAACGGTTTTTCTCTATCAAAGTATTTTGTAATTTGTCCATCTCCAATTGAAGTTCTTCATTTTTATTAAGAAGTTCTTCGCTGTATTTGTTGTTTGAATCCAGGTCTTCTTTGGATTTTACGAAAGCTTTATGTAGACATTCAAATTCGCTTTTAATATTCTGTTGGATATTTATGCATTGAGAGCAGTAAAAAAGAACTGTCCTCTGATTTAGTACCAAGGCGTCCGATTCAGTGACACTAATATTTTCACAGGTTTGGCAGAATGGCCTCTTGCACAGGTCGCAACACATACCAAAATGTTTATTTTCTCGTGGTCTACGCTTGTGTAGACACAGCAAGTTACATTTACTACAATTGTATTCCATAATTGCTAACAACTTGAGTTTCTCTCTTCTCCTTGCACTATATTCCCCTACAGTGTTCAGAGAATGTTGGCAAAAAAAAAAGGTTCAAAATTCCATTCTCAGTGATAAAGAATCTGACTTGAAAAGAAGATAAGAAGCAGGCAAATTTGTAATTTTTTTGCTGCTATACGAGCAATATTTATAGTCCTGAACACAATGATTTTGGTTGTTTTTCCAAATTAAAATTGGGTTCTTGTGTTGATTATTAAATAAGAGTAAAAACTCACATTTTTCCAGACACAATGACATGAAACACAACACAAACAATTTATTTCACTTTTTCTATTAAAATTAACACAAATAAAGGAGAGATTGAATGCGTGCGACTTGCTTCGACTCGACGACGACCCCCTATATAATATAATAAGTTCACTGCATCATTTATACAATCCTAGAGAACTTTCACATTTGGAACAAGTTTCCAAAATCAAAACTGTTGAGATACAAATTCAAGTCTATATAATTAAGAGCGTTTTTGAAATCATACACAGATACATTCTTAGACTTAAACAAAAGGGCTGGGTGATATTCGTCAAAAGGTAACAAAGCTGACAACAAAGCGTCATCTGCTACCTTTATTTAAAAAAGTTCATTTGAAAAAATCAAATCGAGAAGACTACCTGTAGCATTTGCAATGTTATCAACTTGATATAAGTTTATAAATGTGAATGATTGTTGAATAATCTTTCACACTGCTATCATACCATAGTCATCATTAAGCCAGTTTACATTTAGCAGATTGAAGTCACCACAGCAATAAACCTGGTCATAGGATGTTGTAGACAATAATGCTTTCAAGTGAACTGCAAAAAGATTCATACACACCTACATTGCAGTTTGGAGATATGCAAACACAAGAAAATAAGATAAGAATCGTCATAACTGGTGATGTAAAATTCCTGAAACATTCAAAAGCCGCGAAAATTCTCGGAAACTTTCCGGGAATATTGGAAACTTTCGGGAACTTATGGAAATATTGTTCTTTTTTTTAAATTTATAGCCAAATCAGACAAATCGTAGTTAGCTTTATTTACTATTATTATAGGGTACTGACTATAGACTATAAACCAAGAAAAACACCTAAGTATTTTTTGTTGTAAGATCAGCTAAAAATTAAACTATGCAGTAAAAACACTTTTATGGTCGGTTGAATAAGGCTTTAAAGGAAAAGCTGATCCGATTAACCCAATCTCTCAGCTCTTTATTTTTTGTTTTTCTTCAATGAAGATTATTTTAAAAAAAGACATGTAGGCTGTAGGTACATCAGCTGGTGATGGGGTAAATCGGATCAGCGTTTCCGTATAGACAGTTGGACTAGGCTACATCATCCACATAAAGTGAAATGACGTCAGTGAGACCTTGTCGAGGACCTTGTATTCGCAATAATCTCGCATTTTTATAAAATTCTTTTGGAAAGTTCTCGGAAATATTCTCGAAAATATTCTTTTGAGAGTTTTTGATTGAAAGTTTCCGGGAATATTCTCATTCAGGAGAACATTTCCATTTTTTATCGGCAAATATTCTCGGAAATATCCCATTGTTCGCGAACAGAATATTCTAGACTCACATCAGTAGTCACAACGATAAATATTATAATCCAGAAGATTGAGTTCTGCAATATATCATCAGTAAGCCATGTTTCTGTAAATACAGGGTAGAAAAAAAATAGTATACGGGACTTCGATGGGTGATACTACATATGAAAATAAGAAAAAAAGTTCCTATATGAACATGCCCTAAAATGCTCTCTGAAGAAGTTACAGCCCTTCAAATGGTAGATGAAAATAATAGATTTTATAGATAACAGTGGCAAACTATTTTCCTTGAAATTTGGTATTCTCCAAGGCATTCTCATATACATTTTGGTGCCAACAAAGCAAATGCTGATAGTAAAAAAAGTCGAAAAAGTTCTGAAAGGGTAGAGGGTAGTTACTCACAAATCAACAAAGCATCCTAGGGCATAGGGTTATAGAAACTTTTTTTCTTATTTTTATATGCAGTATCACCCGAGTGGGTAACAACTGGTGGCAATACATGTACAAATTGTATAGCATTACAATGCGTTACGTGTGCATTACAACGCATTACTGGAATTACAGGCATTACGGTGGCATTACTTGGTATTACCAGGAATTATGCTGACATTACAAGGCATTACATATGAATATAGCAGAATTATGCTTGCATTCAATAGAATTATGGTTGATTTTTAAGGTTTTAATGTAGGAACATACAATCCAGTTGTTACCCCCTCGGTATCACCGCTCCAAGTCTGGTACACTATTTTTTTTACACCCTGTATAACAACATCATAATTTTCAATTGTTTCAGTAAGTAGCTTTTTAACTTTAGAGCAAGATTTAATGCTACGAACCTTTTGGTAATAACATTTGGGTTCAAATTTACTTGTAGGTACTAGAATTATTTGCCAGATAAGTAATATCTCGTATGTTGTTGTTTTTTATCGGGTTTCTCCCTATACTTGATTGAAAATTTCCCCGAAAATTTCCTAGCCTATTTTGATTGCTGAAATTAAATTGTCTAAATATTTCACCACCAGGCCCAAAACTAGCTGTATTTAGCTATACTCATAATGAGTTTTAAATCTTACAGATGGCTGAAAATATACACCAAGACCTTTAATGTTATCTTGATCTGGATGACTGTAAAAATTTTGTTGCTAGCTGTTAGAGCTCACTTCACGGATATAATATTATTGAAATCCTTACCAGATCCATTTGGTCCAAAAACAACCCAAGCGTGATCCTCAGACAAAGCCAAATGTACATCATTGTAGCCCAAAACTTGACAGCCTGCAACAACAGCATAAGCGACCCCAAAACAATCCAATTTGCTGCCGGTGAGGTAGCTGTAAAGGCTCTGCAAGTGAGCCCTATCCTTATAGTAACTCCTGGTCAAACTGTTCCAAATAACATCAGAAACTTTCTTTACAATTTCTCTGGTCGCATACGATTTGGTATCGTTGGATTCCACAGATCCTGTTATGATCAAATGGAACTTTTTGTAAAGGTTTTCGACGTCCTCCAGCTCGAAACGAGGCAAGACGTTGGATTCCGGCGAATCGGTGAGCTGGCCAGCAGCATTTGACCGGCTCGTGAGCTGATTCTCGATGAGCCCAGAGACGATTGATAGTAGAGCCAAATCGGGCTCGTTGGAATCTTCCAGTTGGTTCGTAAACAATTTGACGACGGTGTTTATGTTTTTTATCGGAAATAAAGCTTTGTCAACATCCCGGAAAACCGCCATGTCGCACTTTACATATTTTTATTATTTTTTTTGTTTAGGTAATTGCGTTTTTATATTTTGCTTGGTGTCTGACATCTGTCATTCATTGACGGAGGAGGTCAAAAATGTCAACATTGTTGCCAATTCATTAGTGGTTTTCATTCAACCGATTGTTAGCATGGATGCCAAGTTTTTTCCTTTTTTCAAAAGTAAGTGAAATATGGCAATAGTGATTTGTGGGGGAAGATCCCAAGGTGTTGCCAGTTCAACTCAAAATTCAAAATAGTTTATTATGAAAACCCGCTTAAATTTTACATATTTTTTTTTGTATGATACAACCCCATCATAGCTTCTTGCAAGGCCCTCAGACAGGCAATATTTGTTTTGAAGCCTCCAGCTCTCTCCTGATCGGTTTCCAATCTAATATGATTCATGAAACCTTTGGTTCCAACATCTTCATCTAGAGGTGGCTGAGGACCATTGGGTATTACAACGATAGGGGTATATTCGTAGGTAGGCCCGTCGTCTGTGGGTACTGGTAAAAATGTGGTTTGAGATTTCCTTCCGAATTGAATGCCAGAGGAGAATTTTGTTATTTTGGTTGGTGGTTTTTTCAGTTCTTCTTCTTTTTCTTCTTTGGCTTGTTGGGCAAATGTTTGAACTATGTTTTTGGCGTTGGTGTTGGAAAACATTAATTCATCTAGAAGGGCTTCTTTGCGTTGTATTCGTTTTTTCTTTGCTTCAGATTCTTCCATTAGAATCGCCTGTTTTCTAGCTTCGTTTACTTGTTTTTCCATTTCTAAGATTTCTTCTATTTCGTATTCCTCTCTTCCTAGGCGGTTTTTGTTTTTCTGAATTTGCTCTCTATTGTCTTTTTTGTATTGCTCAATTTTTTTATTTGTGTTTATTATATCTATATTGTTGCTTAAGTTGTATACTATTGATTCGATTTCTTCTAGATAGTCGTTGTATTCTTTCAAGGTGGCAAAATCCTCCTCTTTTTTGTTGAAGTCTCTCAGGACCCTTTTGCGAATGTCCACTTCTTTTTCTACAGAAGCATCTTCAAAGAGTTGTACCCGGAAATTGTTTCTGCGCAAGGGTATTTTGCAATCCGGGCAACTGCCAGAACCTAGAAAAAAATTCTATTATTTGAATTTGTTATTAAATTTGAAGAAAATCAACCTTTTAAAAAGAGTAGATCCACACAACTTTCGCACAAGCCGTGGCCGCATACATTGACCATCATTTTTAGTGAAGGGTTTTGAAACTTGGTTGTCCGGCATCTTGGACATGCAAAATCATCCATAACTAATTACAATTTGTTTCAATAATTATTTAATAAATAAACCTAACATCAACACATTTGCATTTGAAATATAAATAATAAAAAAGTGAGGTTAGAAACGACCAACAAGTGTCTCTTTTTTTTCTTTTAAATTGACCAACGAATATATCTGTCTTTTTTCAATAGTTGGAAATAGAAAGGGAAAGCAACTAAAACATTGTTGCTACAATTGTTATTTGATATTCATGACATTGACATTTAAATTCTTTTTTTTTTGGAGTTGACTGTTGATATCATGACTGTTGATGGAATTGAATTGGTAATTGGTGTTTATGGGGCGAGGATCTTAAATATTTAATTTAGCTTCTAGTTTTAGCCCCTTATTCTATTGAACAAGTGCAAGTGTTACGTTAAAACAATACAGAAAAATGTCTAAATTAAACGATAGATCACCTAGTCATTTAACTTATAAGCTTGTAATAGTCGGAGGAGGTGGTGTTGGAAAATCTGCTATAACTTTACAATTTATCCAGGTAATTAATAATTAAAGTATAATTTCGTTTTTTAACAGTTTGGCCTTTTAGGCAAACAGGCGTTTTATATTAAATTCGTGCAATACAAGTTGTGGCTTTATATGGCAAGACAATATGTTTTTAACCTTGTTTGTAAACCTACACGATTGTTTTGTAATCACACTGCCAACCACACAAGAATTTAATGTATGAAAGATCTTGAATTTTATGGAAAAAAGGCCTTTTTATGGTCCTTCTCTGGCCTATTTCTTCACAATGAAAAAAGTTTAAAGGCTCCAATATTCGAGCCAATATTATATGATGTTTATTTTTGAATTTTCATAATTTATTAATCAAAATCTTAGATTGGTAGGGTCTGTTCTCACAGAAATCACACACCTATACTATAAGAATTTCATTCTTTGCAAAACAGGCAATTTGCACCAATCAAAAACGATCTGGGGGGCTTTATTTGAAATTGATGCAACTTTGCGTACACGCAAATGACGTCATTTGGGATTGAAAATTGGTGCACGGCTTATTTGACATGTACTTTTTCAATCTAAACTGACGTCATTTGTGTCATATTTGCGTGTACGCAAAGTTGCATCAATTTCAAATAAACTCCCCCTGACTGGTTTGTGATTTCTGTGAGAACATACCTTTACAAGCTCATCACAGACTTGATGAGTTGAATTCCTTACAATTGAATACCAAACTCACAACCATAAGTTTGAACTAAAATGCATCCAAAAAAAAATTATTAAAATACCAAAGCAACTTCATAGAAAATATTCTGCTTTGATATGATGGATAGATGTTCAACTGCATTTTTATCTTCCATCCATAGAAATATTTCTACTTTATAGGTCCATTAATGGTTATATAGACTAGACCCATTAGCAAATGTCCATCCAGAAATCCATTCTCATGAAAAAAAGTACCTATTTTCTATGAGTTTCCACTAGGGATGCACCAAGTATTCGGTTTGCCGAATAATTGCCAAATATTCGGTCACTTTTGAGTAAATGCCGAATATTCGGTATTTGGCCATAAGGTATTCGGCAAATATTCAGAAATTATTCAAAAACACGCAAATACACGCAAGTCGCCTCGGGAATTCACATTAATGAAAATAAAATCGGTATTGCCAACTGCCAACAATGCCAACCCCAAACTAACCCAACCTTTAAAACAGAAGAAATCCCAATGACATTGAAAAAGCCTAAGAAATTATGCAACCAACAATCCATATTAACCGAATATTCGGCTGAATAATGGCCGAATATTCGGCCAAAAAACTAGGCCGAGGACCGGCCGAATATTTGTTATTCGGCCGTGACGATCAACCAAATATTTGTTATTCGGTCGTGACAATCGGCCGAATATCCGGTATTCGGCCAGTGACCCAAACCACTATTCGGTGCATCTCTAGTTTCCACAGATCTAACTATGCTGTAAACTGTCACCCTTTCATTGATTTTTTGAAGGCTCATTTAATAAAAATCTCAACACTATTTTGCCACTGCTTTTCATATCACATTTATATAATATAAATGGCATGGAATCTCAAGAATTAATAACTAAATAAAGGATTTAGGTATATACACTGTGATTTATGTAACCCATGCATTAGAAGTTTTCTAGATTGCAGGTGGATTAGAAAAGATAGCATCTAATCCTTCTACAATCTACTAATGCATTGGCTACGGGCTACATAATTCACCCTGTATATGTCTTCTTGTTCTTCGTCAGCCCATGTCCATCCATTGTCAGATATAGGCCTCTTCCAGGTTTTTCCATGTCCCACGATCTCTCGCTAATCTCATCCATTATCCCCCTGCCACCGTTCTGACATCGTACATCCATCTCTTTTTTGGTCATCGCACATTTCTTGTTGTTCCTCTTGGTCTCTAGTGTGGTGTTTTTTGGGTCCATCTATCTGGGTTCTGGCTTGCTACCCTTTTCACAACATCTGTCACTTTGGTTCTATCATGTATCTGTTCATTTCATATTTCATCCAAAAAGGTGATTCCCAGCATTATTCTCTCCATGGCTCTCTATGCGACTCTCAGTTGCTAAGCTGGTTTTTGCGGTTATTGCCATAGTTTCTAAGCTGTAGGTGAGAAACAACAGAATACAGCTGTCATATGCTTTCCTCTTTAGTTTTATGGGTACCTTCTTATCTTTATAAATAAAGTTCATGTTTCCGAATGCTACCCATGCCAAATGGATCCTGCGTTTGATTTCCGCCGTTTGGATTCCTTTGCCCAGCTTGATTTTATGTCCTAAGTATATGTAATGTTCTACATTTTCTAAAGTAACGCTGTCTATGGTGATGTTACATTCATTTTTTTTTTGTATATTATCATGACTTCAGCATTTTTCCATGGTTGCGGGATTTTTCCCTCTATCAGAGCTGTTCCTAGAATATTTGTATTTCCCTTCCAATTTCCTGTTTGTCTGTGATTAGGATTCCTTGATTGTTTTTTATTTTTACAATTTTCTGTTTTCCCCTCTCTTGGTTCAATCTTAGAACTCTCATGCCTTTATTTTTCTCTATAGTTTCCAGGATTTTGTTTGTTTTGTTTTTTCTTAGGTCTTTTCCTATTTCTTTTTTCGTTGTTTTATTTAGGGTATTATATTCTGGGGAGTCTCTGTCAGTTTTTCTTCTTTTACTTATTAGTTCTATTGTCTCTGGTTTTAATTTGGTATCTGATCTCTGTCATCCTACTGCATGTTTTCTTTGTGGCTGTAGTTATGCCATGTGATATTTTATTGAGGATTTCATCGGGCAAGTATGAAAGGGCAATTTTTGAGTAGAATAGGGTGAATTTTATCCGGACCAGGACCCTTGAAAGTATTTAAGTTAGGTAGCTCAGAATATATGTCAGATATTGAAATGGCATAAGATCTCTATTAATATTATTTAGGGAGGTTTCTTTTGTAAATTTTGGTTGATTTTGAGAAGATTGGCTGCATCTACACCAATTCACATTTTCCATTGTCAAGGAAGATGTTGTCGGATAAGCTATGAGAATGGCTTTGAGAGCTCATGTATTTCCAAAACTGTTTTGGATCATTGTCGAGAGCATCAAATTCTCTTTAAAACTGTGTCAAATTGGTTCCAGTAGCTCATGGGCTTGCTGAGCTATCAAGCTTTAATGTTGGACTTTAGTCGAAATTTTGTCACAAATTTTAAAATCAATTTTTTTCAATTAGGATAAACTAGGCGACATCAACCAATATGAGCTTCTTTGAACCCTCATTTGAACCACAATGAAAGCTACAATTAGGGTTGTGCCGTTTGAAATTTTCAAATGAAATTTCCATGTTTGATATATTCAAATGTGAAATTTTCAATATTCGAAAAAAGTGAAATTTCACAGAAATTGCCGGTGAAATTTTCAATTTGAAATTTCCCAAATTTTGTAGAAAATTTCATATTTTTCACTGGATATTTCATATTTTTCACTGGAAATCTCATAAATTTCATCAAAATTTTCAAAAAGTTACATGTTTCGCCGGGAAATACAAGGAGTTATTGGCAATAATGGCAACGCTGCTCACTGGTTGTCTTGCTTTGGATAATGGAATCTTAATTCTCAGCAAATTTCTTAGCTTAGGTTAGAATTCATTTGCCACGATTCGATTTTATAGGACACGACACGACAATACAAGTTTCCGAGGCAGATGAATTCCACATTGGAAGCCTAAACTTATGTCATAACATAAGTTTAGGCATAACATATTTATCGAGATATTTATCATAATAAATACAGTTGAATCAAAAAAACAATATTTGAAGATACTTCTCTCAACTGACTAGGAAGTAAATAACACAAAGGTAGATTGTGTTTTTTCTACGAGCGTGCGGGAAATGGCTCTTTCCGCACTATATTTGCTGTGCGGGCAGACTTTCTTGTTTTGTGTGTTGTTTTCTTCCCAATACATTTATAAATTTATCCACCGCACAGTCGCATTTTATTTAAATTACATTTTTTGTAACATCACCACTTGAAGAAAAGAATATAGTTCCTGAAGCTTGTTAGTAGAAATTTCCGGCACTCGGGCGCTTCGTACACTCTTGCGGGAAATGTCTCCTCCCGCACTTGTTAGGAAAATAGCTTATACCCACACCTACTTATTTATTTTGTGTGTACCTACCCTACCACCACCTCATGAACACCATACTAAACTAATACCACAGCTAATACACAAAGTCACGTAGTCATGTCACATCACATTATTTGAATTTTATAGAAAATTTCATGGAATTTTATGAAATTTCATTGAAAATTTCATAGTGAATCATTTGATTTTGAAAATTTCATGATATTTTGGAAATTTTCAGAAATTTTGAAAACTTCACGGAAATTTCAAAAATTTCAATATTTCCATGAAAATGTCATAGTGAAATTTCCAGATGATGTGAAAAGTGAAATTTACCCAACCCTAGCTACAATCCCTGAAAATTTTGTCGCAATATCTCATGTGGATTACTAGAGATTGGGGTTCAAAGATCTTGAATTAAGCACCCCCCTGTGAAAATCACATGTCAGCAAATTTATTGAGAAGGAAGTTTAAATGGCAGAAACATTCTCACAAAATTGTCTCTTTTTCTTTACTCAGAACTCAGATAACATGGTTGGCAAGTTTTGAAATGCAAGCCTTGTATATTATTATTATTGATCTTATTTTGTATAAACAAATAAAAACGTATAAAATTATAAATAATTAATTACAGAGCTATTTTGTGACAGACTATGATCCCACGATAGAAGATTCCTATACCAAACAGTGTGTAATCGACGATATACCTGCAAAATTAGACAGTAAGTAGATATTCAAAATTACATAAATTTTTCCAAATCCAGGTCAAGACTCTTCTTTCCCAACACCCAAAAATTAAACTAGACAGATGTTACATAAAAATCTCTCAAAATGTTTATGGCAAAGTCCCATATTATAGAGTTGTGATTGTTTCCAGAATAAACAACCATTAAAATTTTAATTAAAACCAGCCTTTAACAGCTAATGCGATTTTTATGGCGTTTTGGTTTCACTTACCTTACTGTATATATGTATATTTGGGGCAAAAGTAATTAAGTTAGTTTCAAAACCACAATGAAAATTTTAAGTTATAATTAGAAAATGGCCAATCAATACAGTATGCAAGATTTTCAATGAAAAGTACCTAACTTTTCAAATTAGTTTTTTATTTATTTTACCCTCACAGTACTCGATCAATAGCCAATTGTCTGGGCCTTCGCTAAATTTTTACTTCAATTAATCATATTTAAAAATTACTCTTTTTACAGTCTTAGATACAGCTGGCCAAGAAGAATTTAGTGCGATGCGCGAACAATACATGAGATCAGGCGAAGGTTTCCTATTAGTATTTTCTGTAACGGAACGTTCTAGTTTCGATGAAATTTACAAATTTCATAGGCAAATATTAAGAGTCAAAGATAGAGACGAATTTCCTATGCTTATGGTTGGAAATAAGGTATTTACACTCAAATAAATAAGAATAGTTTTAATCGATAAATCGATTGCAGGTTGATCTGGAACAGCAGAGAGTGGTTTGGCAAGAAGAAGCGCAACAATTAGCGAGAAATTTGAAAATCCCTTATATCGAGTGTAGTGCCAAAATGCGTATAAACGTCGACAATGCGTTCTACGAACTGGTAAGGGTTGTACGTAAATTTCAATTGTCCGAAAGGCCGCCCTTGAAACCTAGTTACATGAAAAGGGACAAAAAAAAATGTTGCATAATATAAATAGTTTAATGTTTTGATATTAATTTTTTTTTTGGGCCAAAAAAAAATGCAGATTCAATAGGCAACGACATATCTGTGTTACATTTCGAAAAGTGCAATACCAACTAATAATTATTTTGCTAACTAAAATTAAAATGCATCACAATAACAAACAAGAGCATCAAATATAATATTGTAAATATTAATTTAACCAAAATTAATCGATTAAATAGTTAATTTTGGAATTAAACAAAATGTATATTTCTATATAAAGTGTATTTGTGATACCCCTAAACGAAATTAATATTACTTGTTTTTGTTTATTATCTGGATCGTGATTGTGGTATTTGTATCCCTAGAATAAACAAAGTCTTGATGTTAAACAATAGAGTGAATATTCATTATTATTAAAAAAACAAAAAACACCAATAAGGCTATTTTTATATTGACTATATTTTTCTAGTGTAACTTTAGCTTTAAATTTCACTTGCTTTAAAAACCATTTGTGAATAAAATTGTTATTATTATTTTTTAAATAATTCCGTTGTGTATATTTTTTTTTTGTACAAAACAACGAGCTGCCAATTTGTGTCATTACTAATAGAAAAATCTTATCTGTTGTGTTGTTACTAATTCTATCTTAATCCTTGTTTTCATGATAATAATGAGAAAAGTGTAATTTTTTTCAATTTATTGTACTAACTAGTCAAATGAGTAAAATGAGATTATTATGTCGTGAAACCAAGGTTTAATAATTTATTAAAATACATAAAATAAAAGTTTCCATGTAATATTTTGTTTGTACATAATTAGCTCAATCAATTGATTATAATAATTTTAATATTGTCAATGTTTAACCTGCTGAAAGCTTTAATTGCTTGGCTGCTATAAATGTGATTTTATTATTTCAACATCACACCATTACACACGGGGTGAACAAAGATAAGTCCCTGTGTGCTGAATGAACTGCTTGTCGAAACATTTTTGCAAGCAGTGCCATTACAATAAATCAGAAAATATTATATTATCTGGGTGCTATTTTCGTGTAGGTGTCTTGGAGTGTATATTTTTTATTTATATACTTGTACATTGTGTTTGACGTTTAAAATTTTATATTTGTAATAATTATCATTAATTATAATCTAACGTAAATAAATGTTTTAACGATTGTTATATTATTTTATTACCGTTCCTTCTTTCCTGGTTGTTCTCTATCCTTTGAATATACGCCACCTAAATAACGAGTAAGAAGAATACTGCCTTTGTAATTAGTACCCACTGATTTCTCTTTTTATTTCATTCAGAACGGTACCTATTAAAAGGATCTATAGGGAAAAGTCCTGATTTGCAATGCAGACCATAGTTAGTTCTATGCACAGGTTGGAAAAAGAGCTACCTCTGTCGGGTTCTTCTTCCAGGAACCAGAAATCCAATTTATATCAGAAGTTCGGGCGAGTTGATAAGGCAGGATTTTGTGGAGAAAAATGAGCTGGGTATGCCTCAGAGCCAGAGCTGTTAACGAGTCTCATACTTAATGTGGCACTTGGAGTCCAAATTGGCTGCAGTATTTAAGTGTGGATCGAATGAGACTGTAATATAAACAGATAATGGACTTTGTATCATATAGGTCTCTGGTCTTTCATTTGATGAAACCTAGAAGTCTAAAACTTTTTATAACTATGTTGCCTAAGACAGGTCTTTTTCAAAGGTGACTTCTAGGTCTCTGAAGGGGTCGATTGGTTCCAGATTGGTGTTGTTGATGGTGTATGTGGGCAGTACCTACAGGATTTATGATCTTGTGAAAAATCATGTGTTTGCACTTAATAACATCGAGTTTGAGAAGATTTGATTGCACCGTGCGACCAACCCATCCAAATCCGGCTGGACAGAGGTAGTCGTCAGTGTATAGTATGTAGCAAAACGCCCCAAGTACTCCATGTAATTAGTTAGATGGTAAATGGCAAGCGGTATATTGTCGGTGTTTATTTACTTGGAGCTGCTACCTAAAATCTGTGGAAGGGTCTATTTGCAAGAGAGAGAAACAAACTATTGAGGTGTACTAAATTATATTTTATTATACATAAAACCGAAATTTTTAATCAGCCAAATACCTTCCAATTCTGACAGCCTCATCTATTTCTATAAAATCAATTACTTCACATCCGTTCTAAAATTGTTATTATTACGGACTACTGAAATATCCCTACTAATAAGAAACGCCCTATTCCTAATAACTTATAAGTTAACTCATTTCAACACTTCCGATTCATTCCTATTAACTCCTTCACCTATTTCTCTAAATTATTTAAAATTTCTAAGTCCTTTACTGACTGCTTATAAAAACCCAAAATAATTACCTATTTGTTTATCAATATAGGTATTATTACTAACTTTATTCTTATAAAACCTTACAATAATTTCTACTTGAAAAATAAAAATCCTAATTCAAAATTCATTTCATGATCAACAATTTTCCAATATTTTAAGACAATTCTATTTCATGAACATCAAGTTTCTTTTCAAAATTTCCTATTCCATTCAATAGTTTATTTAATCAGAACAAATTCTATTATAAGTTTCCTTTAACAACTTTCCATTATTTTAAGACAACAATTCTATTTCATGAACATCAAGTTTCTTTTCAAAATTTCCTATTGCAGTTAATAGTTTATCAGAACAAATTCTATTTTCGGATTCCTATGCCTAGCTAATAAACCCAACTGTTTAATTCATAATCCCTACTCAAAATAGTCAAAATTGTATATTGGTAAGTGCATTATAAATTCCCTTCATATTTTTCGTGCAAAATTAAATTAGAATGTCATTATATCTGAAGGCAATTAAAGTTATGCAATAATGTTCCATTTTCAAAACACTCGAGTTATTGATATTTATGCAATAAAGTTCCTCAGTTAATTATAAAGTCAAAAGTTTTTCTAGTAAAAATCACTCAAGCTTTTAGGCATTAAAAGTCATTGTTAATTCACTTCTTATCATTCAGAATCATTGATAAAAGTCAGAAAATTATTAAACACTAAAGTACTTACATTTTACTTTGCACACGTAAAATTACTTAATTAATTACTCAAATTTTTTAGCTAGCACGCACATAAAGGTTGACGAATTTAATTGTTATTTCTTTCAAAATTTTTCCGCTACTTTTTCAAAGACTGTTACCGAGACAATACAAGAACTTTCCGGACTGACACTTTAGGTACTGTAGATTTTAACTCAAACTGGACAGGACTGCGAACTCATCTCTCAACTGACAACTTACTTCCACTTCTAAAACCGCGGTATTTATATTAAATCGATCCCCCCGCAAAGTATTATTAATTATCCCCCAAATCGTCAATAGGCGGTCGTTTACCTAGCAATCCGAATTCCATTGGCCGACCTAAATATTATTAAAAATAATGATGCAATTTCCTTGAAATTTTTATCATTCTTAGTTTAATAGAATCGAATAATTATGTCGCAATATCCTAATTTATCGAGGTCAATATATCTTTTTTTTTTTGTTCAAGAATGCCATAAATCATTTATAATTACTTGGCCTCGCTCTTTTAAGTTCATTGATTTAGGAGATGACACAGGCTTGATGACGAAACACCTAATATAATATTAAACGTTCATTTGTTCCCTTTTCAATTTATTGATACTGATTTGGAGATACCGGAAATTCTGTTTTTGATTATTTGACATGTATTAAATTTTTACAGTAAAGACATTGGCACACACAGTAAAAGGCCTGTGAAACGTCCGTGAAGATCACGTGCACCTGTTTTCCCGATTCCAAAGCATTCGTTAGGAACTGTAGGAAGCAAGATTTGTAGCAGTGGATTTGCCCTTGCAGAAACCGTGATGTTCGTTAGCAACTTTAAGCATGAATACAGATCGTCTGTTATAGAATCCATAATTTTAGGACTATGCAATATGCCTCTATAATTATTCACATTTAGTGCTATCTCCTGATTTGTGGATAGATAATAAAGGTGTTGAGATTTTCCAACTTCAGGGAAAAATGCCAGTATCGGAAGAAAGTTGGAAAATATGCTTCAGAGGTTCGATTAAAGATGTGCAACAGCCTTTAAGAAACACTTAGGAGAGACCATCCTTTTCGAATCATCGAGATCCAGAATTTTTCTCTGTATTGCCTCGACTTTGAAGAGATGATCGGAGAGGTATGTTCTAAAAAGGACTGATGAGTAGTCTTCTCTGATCTCAACAACCTTGTGGTCAGAGTAATACTTCACTCAAAAAAATCTTCATCATAATATCAATGAACTGCTTTCATCAATTACATTTTCATTGATTCAGTGAAATTTTCATTAATCCTAAGTACAGAAAACTGTAAGTATCATGATTTCATGAACAGCTATCATTGGAATAAAGAATGATGCTTCAGTAAGTTATGAATAGTCAGATACATGAATCTATGTTGAATAGTGCATCGGTTACATGAACTAAGTTCATTTATATTATGAAATTAAACCCTGATATTAAAGAAAATTTCTTTGATGGAGCTTCCACGAAATGTGGATATAATATAAATGAATATTAATATGAATAATATGAATATGGTTCATATAGCCTTACTAGAAACTTATCCTTTTAAGAAAGAAATTCATTGATACAATGTACGGTTCATTTGAAACAAGCAAATATTCCTAGAAACAAAGCTGTAACCATTAGATCAAGATAAATCATAAATACAATGAACAGTTCATGGTATTAATGTACACAGTTCCTAAGCACATGCGCAAAGGTTACTGCAGTCGGGCAAAAATATGTTAAAATAATAAGAATGATTACATTTCTATTCTCTGGATGCATTGCTACGTACTTCGTTCTAGACGGTTTTTTCGGTCTTGTGTTGTTCAAGGTGTTAAATAGAAAGTCGGTTATACCTGTCGCCGGTTTTTTCCAAAAGGTAAGTTGTATACCTCTATTACCTCCATAATATGTATACCTATTATGTAGGTAGGACTTTGATGCCTTGCACGGAGACGGTCTAGTCTCAAAATGGGAATGCGAAAGAAATGACTTATAGATTTTAATGTCATCCGGGGAGAACGTGAAAGAGAAGAGCGTCAAGAGCTCCTCAGAATTTCTAAGGAATACTGAAGTCTCTAAAAGTAAGTATACCCAATTTCAAATCAAGTTGTAATTTTTTTCATCGATATATTTTTGTTAATTGGTTTTGTTTCACTAGGTAGAAAAGCACAAGATTCAATCCTGTAGCTAGTGTTTCATAGCTGAGGCAAGGAAACCAGCCAAGACTTCAAATCTAATTTTCTGACGTGGCTTGAACTTTGAAACTTTGGATGTTGATAGTTCAAAAACAGCTGGAACAAACATAGACATAGTATTATATATTTATGGAAACAGGATTTGAGGAGGATTTCAAAGATAGTACAATATACCTACAGTTAGTGTCATTTGAAATAAAAATACATAAGTACTCAGATTTTTGAATTTTCAGATTTTGGGATGCCCATTGGTTTGTTTGACAATTCTGGAAGATGATACGAAGAAATCATACAACTTCTGCATCAGAAGCTTTTCTCCTATTGCTCATATTCACCAGTACAGGGGTCACGCAAATATAAAAAATGACCCTGTACCCTATTTAAAATCATAAGTATATTTAAGGCATAATTCAATAAAAATAAAGAATAGGGTACATATTATTGAAAACGGCATCAATAAATACAATGTATAAAATTCTTACTATTCAAGACTTTGATTCATAAATACAATGGAAGGGTTTCATCGAATTATATCTGGGCTTCATAAATATTATGCCGTCTGTTCATCAGGCCAATGAAAAAGTACATATAAACTAAGAACGATGTTCATTGTCACTATGGAAAGTTTCATAAATACAAAAATTTTGCCACATACTTCAATGTTCCTTGTTCATACACAAGATGAATCGAACTAGGAATTAAGAAATTGTTCTTCCTTTGATAACGTAGAGTTCATGTGATCAAAGAAGCAGTTCTTTGGACCGATTTTAATGAATTGTTCATTGAATCAAAGAACAACTTCTTTTTATTTATGCTACTATTTGGTTGAGTGTTCTTGAAGTGTGTGGCAGAGAGTTCACCAATCTGTTGAGGGTTCGAAGAACGATGCGTCAGGACGAAAGAAATGGAGATTAGTAATTGATTATAGCAAGTTGAATGAAAAAACCATAAGTGATAAATATCCAATAC